TACATAGTAAGTCTGGAATAAATTTTCAAATGCTGGGAAGACTGGATGAGTAAAACCTAAGGAGTGTGGAGCTATCTATGCATTCTCTTCCTCCCATGTTCTCCAGGAGAGGACAGTACTCCAATAGGATCTCATCCCAGTTTGTTTCCACATTCACTGTTCCTGGAGTTAGCCCAATAGAGCCATCATACCCATGAAACTTACATTGCTTAAACGCCCTCAAGGTCCCCCGTTGCATGCCTGTAGAGAAATGCCTTTTTCTTGTCTGCCACTTTGGTTTTTTCCCCTCCAGTCACCTGGGCTCTGCTGCATTGTAGTCCCCAAATAACACACAAGACGCTGCATTAATTATGAAGCTGTTGGCCTTGCTTGTTTCTTACTGGCTATCTCTGACTTAAGTATTTACCCCATAACTGCCTATCTAAGTATTTCTCTTACCGGAGAAAAGGGTCTGGGCTTCTTAACCCTATGGCGGTTACATCTTGACTCTGTGTTTCTCCTACCCAGAGTCCTCCTGGACTCCTAGTCCCACCTATCTTGCTTCCCTATTGGCCAGCAATGCTTTATTGACATATACACAGGACTTCCCCCATCACATGCCTGTTACCAAATGTGCTCATATGCACCCTCCTCCAGAGCCTGTAAGGAATTTATGCCTCCAAATGTTTTAAGTCCCCAAGTGCCTCCACTATCCCAAATGCAGTCAAGTCTCCACCTCCCTCTAAACCTAAAAGGTACCCAGGTTCTAAAACACTGAAAAGTGGTTCAGTGACCCCAGTCTCCAAATGCTGTCTTGTTGCTCAGGACATTTTGGTTGGCAGGGTTCCATAGGCTCTTTAGTGCCCACAGATAAATACTGTTCTTGGAATGTTTGCCCCAAGGTTGCTAGGAAAGAGTTGAAGTATAATAATATATTCTAAGAGTATTTTGATCAGTGCATGTAACCAAGCCTGGGGAAACACGTGGAACTTAGGTAGACGTTTACAGTGGTAGAGTACCAGATCCTGGTATCACTCCATGTGAATGTGTGTGTCACTGGGTGTTCCTGTATCCATGCTTTCCATCAAGGATCTTCACATTATGACAGTCTGAGGCTCCCAGGTCTTCTAATTTCTTATTTGTCATTCCAGATCTGGCTGAGTATCCAATACCTAAGTACAAATGGAAGAATCACCAGAATGTTCCAAAAGGACTTCCAGAGGCATGTGGGTGCTCTAAAGATTTTCCTCCCATTCCTGTGTCACTTACCTGCATTTGACTCTTCAGTGTAAAGACCATGTTTCCAGGTACATCCACTTTTTGCTCCATACCCAAACTCCAGCCTGCAAGCTTCTCTCTATGATGATCAAGGCATAGAGGATGCCAGGTGTAGCCCCAAGAGGACCTACTTGATGTTCAAGCCCCTGCTGTGCCTTCCTCCCTTGGTCATACCACAGTGGCTGAAGCCCAGACTGACCCAGCAGCAGCTGAATGTCAGGTCACAGTGGAAGCTCCAGTTCCCACCACAGCTGTTGCCAGAGTCCCAGATGTTGCTCAATATCTACAGCCAACTTCTGAGTATCTCTAGCAATGGATACAAGAGGATCTGGATTCATAGGAGGACTCAGAGACGTGGAGTTATATAGTGACTCCACAATAGCTCTCACACTGGACAAGCATAGGCCAAGTCTTTAAAGCAAGAGAGGTGTGGTGGTTCGTGCCCTTTATCTCCGGATTTGGGAGACTGATGCAGGCTAATCAGTGTTAGTTTCATACCACTGTGGTCCATACACTGAGATTGTTTCAAAACAAATTAAAATAGTATTGTTTCTTACATGTTAGTTTAATAAAAGTAGAAAATATTTTCTGCCAGCAGTTTTTAACATTCGTTCTTCCTAGAATGGCTGTTTTTATGACTTTCTCTTTGCAAATTTTTGTATGTTCAAATGCCTGCATGTATGTATGCACTATCAAGGGCCTGAAAGAGGGCTGGGGATCTTCTGAGAGTAGAACTTCAGGCTGTTGAGAACCCACAGGTAGTTGCTTCAAACTGAACTCAGGTACTGTCCAAGAGAGGGAAGTACTCTTAAACACTGAGCTCTCTCTACAGTCCATAGTGTAGCTATGGTTTTAAATCATGTGTGTGAATTCCTATTGTAGCCCAAAATACACAGAATTCATTAGAATAAAATGTTTCCTTTGCTTAGTAAATGTTTGAAGTGACTGGACTCAGATCACATGGTGGCTCACTCGAAGGGGTTACTGTATGCAGTTCTAGAGATACTGCATAAACCTGATGTACTTAATATGCAAGCCCAATATATAATCACATAATGTAAAATTATATATCTACTGAAAAAATGCTACGAAGCCCCCCCACCACAGAAGTATATTTCAACTTTCTTCTTTAAAATAGGTTTGTGTATCTTACAGCACTCATACCTCACTACCGGGGTGTAGATGTCAGAGGAAAATTTGTGGGAGAAAGTGCTTGGTTTTGCTCCCACCCTCCTAGTCCCACAGGTCACCAGCCTTTGTAGCAAAGTCATTTATTAGAAGAGCTACAACCTGTGGCCTCCTCTCCCTATCTACTTTTTCTTTTCATTACTTATTGCAGAAAGCTCTGATTTCCAGTCTGGCTGCCTCAGACATGAGTGGCTTGCATTCCAGACCCATAGTCCAAGCTCTGTTTTGTCAGCTTTTGAGGAATAGCTACATTGTTTCTATAGTGACTGTACAAGTTTGCATTCCCACCATCGAAAATAAGTCTTCCTCTTTAGGCACATCTTCACCAGCATAAGATGTCTTTGTTTTATTGATCTTGACCACTGTGATTAGGTAAGATAAAATCTCAAAGTAGTTTTAATTTTCATTAATCTTATTACTAAATATAATGGTATATTTAATTTTTGAGGTAGAGTTTCTGTGTGTAGCCTTAGCTGTCTTCTCAACATGTAGAACTGTCTGGACTTGAACTCAGAGATCTGGCTACCTCTGCGTGCTTAGTGCTGGGATTAAAGGTGTGAGCCATCCCTGCCCAGCATGTTATTCTCTGTTTTGTTTTGTTTTTGAAACAAGGTCTCTCTACAAATTGACCTGGCTGTCCTGGAGATCTTTGTGTAGATCTGGTTGGGTTGACCTTCACAAATATCCTTTCTCTGCCTCCTTCATGCTGGGATTAAAGGAGTGGTCCACCACACAAACCTGTATAATATTGTCCAAAACAGTTGCTTCAGCATGTGTGTTCTATCTTTTGGGAATTTGTCTTTAGTTCTATACTTAACAGCCCAAGTACTGTTTTCCCCAGTCTGAGAGAAAGTTTTTCTGTATATCCTTGACTGGCATGGAACTCACTCTGTGAACTAGGCTGACCTTGACCTCAGATATCTGCCTACCTCTGTCTCTACTGTGCTGGGATTAAATGCTTGCAAAACGACAAACTTGACCTCACGTTGTTACAACTGAGTAAAACAATGAGAGCCTAGTGTAGGCCCCATGTTCAGGTCATTAAAGAGTTGACTTAAATGGACTCCATAAAATTTTGTGTGTGTATGTATGTGGCATTTATTCATGTAGTTACCTATTGATCTATTTTTATGAAGGAGATAAAACTGAATTTGCATGGCCACAAAGTGGGGAAGAGCTGGGGAGTGGAAAGAATATAAATATTTACATACATCAATGCACATTGAAGCATTTAGGGACATTTTTTCCGTGTAGTTCCAGTTGTCCTGGAAAGTGTTACTTAGACAAAGGTAGAAGAAAAGTAAAAGGATTGTACTGATTCTGCCTTTTGAGTTTTAGGATTAAAAGTGACCCTATATAAAGGGGATTCAAATATAAGATATAAAGTATTTTTCTCGAAAGCCAGTGATTACTATGCTGTCTACCCCAAAAGGGCTGACTGAGTAAAGGCATTTATAGAATAAACAAACCTACAGCTTCACCACTTTCTCCCATTTGTGACTCCACAGCCCTCATATGAGATAAAGTGTAATTTCAAAAGTTAAAATAATCTCCTTGGAATAGTTGTGTTTCTGAGGCTCATGGTGCACTCACGAGAGCAAGACTGAGGCCTGAATGTCCTTCTCCACACATACCAGGCATTTGCCTATATTTGACTCTAGCCATGACTTCCTCGCCTAATTTAATCCTTTGCTGTTTTCCTCTTTTCTTTGTCTCCTTAAAACTGGAGATTGAATCAGAGACTAGTTCATAGTAAAAATGGAAAGAAGTATCTTATTTATGTAAATTTCTCATCTCCATTCCCTCTTTTTTCAAATGAAAATTTCTGGTCAGCTATCCCTGGTTGACCTCAAAGATGCTCTGTAGACCAGCCTGTCCTTAAACAGACCCCCTGAATGTGGGTGTCAGTGAGGAGGCCTAGGTAATCTATGGGGCCTTGGGTAGTAGACCAGTATTTATCCCTGGCATACAAATGGACTTTGGGGCCCACCCCACAATGAGGGATGCTCTCTCAGCCTGAACTCTTGGGGGGAGAGCCTAGGCCTAGGGCCTCACCCTCCCTGGGGATCGGAGTGGAGATTGGGTGGGGGGGTCTGGGAGACCTGGTGGAGGGGCAGGGAAGGAGGGGAGGGAGAGGGAGCTGGAATTGACATGTGAAACAAGCTTGTTTCTAACTTAAATTTTAAAAAAGGAAGAAAAAAACTTGCAGGTCTCATGGTTCAGTGACCCAAGTAGCTGGAATGACAGGTCTGGGTCCCCAGGTCTGGCTCTTAAGTAGCCTTTGTTAACATTAGGAATGTATGGTTGTTCTTCTTATCTGAACCCTTAGATACTTAAGTAGAGACTTTGTCTATTGTTTGTTGATGTTGCTTTTACCTTTTGAGGCAGGGTCTCCTGTAACACAGGCAGTCTTTGGATCTGCGGGGTAGTCGGGGTTGGCTCAAGTCCTGATCCTCGTTTCTCTACTTCCAAGACAATACAAGCACGGTGAACCCACCTGGTGTGTAGAGGTATTAAATGGGCCTAACTACTGAAATGCTTCAAAGATCTGTCTATTAATTGTAAAGAATATTTACTTGGGGGTGCCTACAGGTCATACATGTTTTAAGATTGTAGTTCAAATAAGAAGCCCAGTGTCATCCTCTACTCTTTCTGTAGACATAACCCTTCTAGAGCTCTGGAAATTGGGAAACGGCACATCAATCCCTTATCACCAAGCCTCAGGATCCTACTTTTCCTTTCAAGATTTACACAGGAAAATGGGCAAATCAGTTTTCACATGTTTTCTTTTTACCAGAACATGTGGGCTGTGTCAGACTTACGACCAAATACATACTGAACAAAACACATGTAATATTTTTCTCAAATGGTTTCCTCCTTATCACACCTCTTTCCATTGCCCCTGGAGCTGCTGTTGAAGCTGTGCTGGATTCTAGAGCTTGTGTCGAGCCTGCATCTTGAGCTGGGTTTTCAGATGACGCACAGCCTGCTGACTGACACGGGATTCTGTCTGCCACTGCTAGGACTTGGCCAGCATGGCCACACTTCAGGGCTTCAGATAAGAAACACTCATTTGTCTCATCAATGCAGAGGATGGAATCCGGTTCTGGGAAAATCCTTGGGCTGAGTGACGGAGGAGAGCAGATACTAGATGTGCTCTCACACATGGATAAGAAGGATTCTGAGTCTGGAGAAATGATGGAGGGACTGACTGAAGGGAGAGAACAGATACCCAACTGCCTCTGGTCTAGAGAGTTGTTCAAGTGGCTGAGGAAAGGAAAACTCACAAGTGATGGTCTCTGACACATGGAGAAGATGGATTCTGAGTTTGGGGAAATATCTGAAGGGCTGAGTACAGGAGTCTTGCTGAAAATGGATGGTTCTCTCACACACAGATTCTGAGTTGTCCAACCCAGCAGGAGGGACACAATCTTTGGGAATTCCAGACCTACCACATGATCCGTGGCCTCATTTCCTAGTTAGTTCTATATTCTTCTGCCTCTGCCATCTCTTTCTAGCTGAGATCCTCCTGAAGCATTTCTCCTCGAAGGCTTGATCAATGATGGAGAAGTTGGATAGATGGTCAGATGAATTACTGGAGAGGCTAAGCTGAGGAGTACAGCTGATTCTGGAAGCCCTCTGGCACAGGGAATCTACACTGGCAGATGTGACAAGAGGGACACAGTCTATAGGGGATGCAGGTCTATCATGCGATCCACAGCCAGGATTCCCTGGTAGTTCTTGAGCCTTTTGCGATTCACTGTAGCTTGCCTGTTCTTGAACCGTAACTGGGGAGACAAAGGAAAGAGTAGGTCAGTAGAAGTCAAGTGCCCCATTTATTTCCCAGTCTTGCAATCCTGGATGAAAAATCTGAACCTTGGTCTGTACCTAGAACCTATAGAAAGAACTCTAAGGTTCATGGGCACAAGAAGGATGAAGGTAGATTGAGGTAACCTGAAACCCAGGGATTAAGTAAGGAAGCTTCTGTTAGAAGGCAGGAGTTTCAAGGAGAGCCCTGATGCTGAGGCCTCTGATACTTTGGAGAATATATTTAAGCACTTACCCCTGTAGTGGTGATCAAACGCAGAGACAGTTCTGAGAAAGGTGCAACAACCCACGGATTTCCTGGTGAATTGAGGCCTCAAGGAAGTTTGTGTATGAGAGGTAGGTTGGTAGTGGGGAGGCTGCCTTGTTGCAGGGGCATGTTCCTAGAGGAGGAAGAGCCTTGGTAACGCTCTGAAGATTTTATGTGTGTTTGGAGTTTGGAATTCACCATCTTCCTAGCATAATGGGTAGAAGTTTCTGTGAAAATTAAGGAACTTTTTGCAAGTTTACCATGTAGATGTAAACACTGAGAACCAGATGAGAGCAAAGATTGTAGCAGCCTGGCTTAGAGTGCTGATGAGTCCCCACAGAACTGTCAAAGCTACTCTGTTTTTGTGCACTGTTCTCCAGCCAATGCACAGGCCTGAGCAGGTGTTGTATATCAAGCCTGTAGCAGTTGATTAGGAGGCTAGAGTATAAGAGCTAGGAACTGTGGGCTTCTCTGATCTATTTCTGTTTAGTACCAGGATTTCCAGTCTAAAAAGATCTCACAGTAGTACCCAATTACCATATGATCCTAGGATCTCCAGTTCCCCAAAGCTTCCCATTCCCACCTGGTCTAAAAATGATTGGAGGTCCTAATGTACATCCGAGTAACAATTCCTCTAGCTCTCTAGTGAACCCAGACTTCCAGGTTCTACAATATCCACAAGGTCTCCTGATTTCTCAAGTGCCTGGAAGGTCACAAGTTTCTCCCAATAATTCAAGGATGCACTGGAAGGAATACACAATCTTCACCCAGAAAAAAAGATTTTGATAAGTGTTAAGAGAAGCTTTTTCTTTTGCTAGCCGCTTTGGTTTATCACCCGCCAGTCGCCTGGGCTCTGCCGCGCCAGCCTGGTTCTAGATCCGCATGAGTCCCAAATAAACACACAGGAGGCTATATTACTTATGAAGCTGTTGGCCTTGTTTGTCTCTTACTGGCTAGCTCTGCCTTAAGTAATTACCCCATAATTGTTAATCTAAGTATGTTTCTTACCGGAGAATAGTTCCCGGTGTCCTACCCCCATGGCGTCACATGTTGACTCTCTTGTGTTTTTCCTACCAGAATCCTCCTGGATTCCTAGCCCCTCCTATCTAGGTTTTCTATTGGCCAGACAGTACTTTATTGACAAATGCACAGGCAAATAACAGGACTTCCCCAACATCTCCTCTTTTCTGTTTAAACAAAAGAAAGGTCTTAATTTTAACATAGTCAAATTGTATATGACAGAACAGTTATCAAGTAAGAACATAGTTACAATATTTTAGCAAGATTTAAAGAAAATATCATCCATCTCATCCTTGTGAGTCCAAAGTTCTATATGTAGTTTATCTCTTATCATAACTAAGGAAAACAATAATTATAACTATCTGTCTTCAACTCTATCAAAGACCACAGAAGGATAATATATAAACACTAGGATTGACAGAGACATCTTACTGCCTGGACAGTCACCCGAAGTTCCTCTGTAACGTTGGGGCATCCATCTTCAGCCCATAGGCCACAATTTGTCTGGAACACTTCTCAGCAAAGCAGGAAATTTCAAACTGTCCATCTGCGTTGGCAGTCTGTCAGTCATTTTTTTTTTTTTGTCCTGCAGAAAGTCTCGTAGACTCTTCATCAAGCAGGAACCCTGTAAGACTGAGTTCAGTAGTCACTTTCCTGTGGGTCCTGCATGTCCAGATGATACAACAACAGTCAAACAATCTAGGCAAGAGCAGTTTCTTGCCCAAATGGCTAATCTTGCCATGTTGAAAGCAAACTTTATAACGAGTTTCTTCGATGCCCATCTTCCTCTCAGACGTAATTGGTGCTGCCAGGAGCAGACATTTCTCATTGTCAAGACAAACCCTAAACCATTTTAAATGCCATGTTCTGAAGGTCTTTGAGAGGTTTGAAGACTGTCCATCTCAAATATATTTCTGTATATCTAGAAACCTAACTTATGTAACTAGAAATTCTATTATAAGTAACTATCTATAGTCTGTATTCAATTATGCATTACGTTGTAAAAGATCAGTATAAGCACAATACTTAATCAAGAGGAGAAATATAAGCATCACAAAATTGACCTTGATTTTGTCTCAATAAATGAAAAACAATACCCATACCATAATTCCCCTTTTTACCATTAAAAAAGATTGGCTGTGATCACTAGCCAATTATAAACAATCCCATTTAAATGAAAACAAAGATTTATAAATAAGATGGGAATTGGGACGTCGCTCATTCCAAACTGCTTCCTGCTGGAAGGGGGCGCTGTTTATACCATGGGGATCATGACAAAACTCAGAAACCTATATAAGTCCATATTTTCCGGGTCTGTAAGACTGCATCATCTTCGCTGTTTCGATTGTTGGAACACCTGGTCCACTGCTTCCGGGGGTCTTGGTTTGTCAAACCACAAAAGCCTGGAAGGAATCCTTAGCTTTTCATTTTCTGTAGAAACATAAATAAAAACTCCTTTTCCAAGTAACATATCCTTACACTTAAATTTTGAAGTCAAGGCATTTTTAAAAGATAGAAGTTGGATTAATTCAGCAGCATTTGTAATCAAGTGTACTTTAGCAGCAGTTCCTTCCTGAGCAAGCAAAAAACTGAAAAACATAATAACATACAGTATCCAGACTCTCTGTGTATTTTCCATCTTTGTGTGGCTTATTTATTTCTATTATTATTTTATTTCTTTTACTTTTATTTATTTTTCTCTGAGACAGGGTTTCTCTTTGGAAACCTGCCTGCCTCTGCCTCTGGAGCAATCCTACCGGCGTGCGCCACCACAACGCCGGCTTTTGTATTTATATACCACTTTGCCGTTTCATTTTCTCTCTCAATCTCACGTATATTTTTAAACACACTGTAAACCTTTAGAGATTTTCTACATCCAAGTCTGACTTTACTGTAAATCTTTATGTTTTTCTGACCACGTGTCTTATCTGTAAAACCGCGGCTGTTTTAAACTGCTGTTTCAAGATGGCGGGCGTAAGCATGACTCCAGTTTACCGCCTCAGTCCATGCTGACCTCCAGCAAAAGCTGCCACTTCCAGCTGTACGTACACACCTTTCAATCGTTAGCAGAGTCTCTTAAAAGAACCTTGTTGGTTTTTTTTTCTTTTTATGCTGAGTCAGGAAGACTCCAGTAAACAAGCCACGTGAATCTCGGCTTGTCGATAGCAAAACAGAGCACACCTGAGAAAAATGCTGCTACCAAAAATCTGTGCTTCTCTCGGTTCTTCTGTTTCTAAAATTCCTTTAAAGCTTTTGTCATTCTGCGTGGAAATTCATGATCCCACTCCTGACACCATTATGTTAAGAGAAGCTTTTTCTTTTGCTAGCCGCTTTGGTTTATCACCCGCCAGTCGCCTGGGCTCTGCCGCGCCAGCCTGGTTCTAGATCCGCATGAGTCCCAAATAAACACACAGGAGGCTATATTACTTATGAAGCTGTTGGCCTTGTTTGTCTCTTACTGGCTAGCTCTGCCTTAAGTAATTACCCCATAATTGTTAATCTAAGTATGTTTCTTACCGGAGAATAGTTCCCGGTGTCCTACCCCCATGGCGTCACATGTTGACTCTCTTGTGTTTTTCCTACCAGAATCCTCCTGGATTCCTAGCCCTTCCTATCTAGGTTTTCTATTGGCCAGACAGTACTTTATTGACAAATGCACAGGCAAATAACAGGACTTCCCCAACAGATAAGTGCATGCATCCGAGCCAGGAGCAATGCATGGCACCAGCTCAAAGATTTGACTTGAAGGAATACCATATCAAGGTATGTTCTCTCTGTCTCTCTGTCTCTGTCTCTCTGTCTCTCTGTCTCTCTCTGTCTCTGTCTCTCTCTGTCTCTGTCTCTCTCTCTCTCTTTCTTTCTGAAACAGGTTTTCTCTGTGGCTTTGGAGGCTGTCCTGGAACTTACTCTTGTAGACCAGGCTGGTCTCGAACTCACAGAGATCTGCCTGCTCTGCCTCTGCCTCTGCCTCTGCATCCCGAGAGCTGGGATTAAAGGCGTGCACCACCAACTGCCCAGCTGGTATGTTCTCTCTTATAGTGAGATATCCACCCTGACTGCACCTGTAGGGCATATAGTTACATTTTTGAAGTCATTGTCCTTGCTAAATTATTTTGGGAAGCTTCAGCCATTGTGCAACTATGCTTCTGAGAATTGCAGACTTTTACCACCCATGTTTCCTATCTGTGAGATTAGTCAGATGTAGATATTTGATCTTCAAACACTTTATAGATCTGCAGAATATGGCATTTAAATGTTTTAATATTAGTACTCCATTGGCATGAGACACAGTTGCTCCTGACAGCACCATGCTATTCCTGAGAAAATGCTGGGCACCAATGTCACTCCTTCTGGAGTCTGTTCTCTCCTCAGCTAATGACCTCTTGGGCAAAGAACTGCTGTCACCTCGACCACTGATTTTGAACATGCTGTCCTACTGTGCTTGCAGGAGATAAATTTAGAAGACTGCTGAACTTTGTCAAGCCAGGGTAAGACAGTCTTTCTACCTCCCTGCTTCTGTGTTGGTCAGTCAGATACTCTAGGTGTCAGCCAAAGCTGGTTGCCCCTACACTGTTGTGAGACTTTGGGTGACTGTCCAGGTAGCCGGCAGTTTCTGTTTTTGCTTCACCTTTGCTCTCCTGCACTTTTTGCCTACCCTAGAATTGTTATCTTCCTTCTCAGCTCTTTGGTGAGGTTGAAGGTTAGACTGTCACAATTATTGCTCTCTCTTCCTAGATAGAAGTATTAGGTACAAGACTTAAACTTTCCAGCTTAGGACAACTCTATAGTAATCTCTGTTATGCCTTTTCCCTAGGACTAGATGTGAAGTTCTTGCCTTTAGCTCTAGCTGCTTCACTGGCAATAGGTCTTAAATGTGTTTGTTCTTACCTTTCCTTTTCCTAGAGCACACTTGATATTTGCTATCTTGATATTTGCTTTCTATATAGTTTTGTATCAAGCCTAATCTTTTTCTTTAGACTAAAAGGGAATTGTAGTGAGATATCCACCCCGCCTACACCTGTAGCACTGACCACACCCATTTGGGTGAGTACATGATGTGGGTGAGTTTTTTTAGGTCTGGGACCTGGACAGGTGACTCTCTCTTGCTTCCTGGCGGGCGGGTCACAGAAGAGCAGCCAGTGCTGATCCTTAGAGCCAGAACTTGTAACAGCCATATGTTTCTTCTGTAAGTGACTTCTCCCTGAAATAAATTATATTTAATATTAATACCTAGTCCTGTAAATAATTATCCATTCCTCCACATTCTCTCATGTCTCCCTTTCCTCTAATTACATAGCCTGTCCTGCAGCAGCTAAGTGCACAATTCCCTGGCTCCTAAACTTCTTGTGCCCCTCCATTATTGCTGCTACTTGGCCCAGGAAGGTTGTAGAATGGCGATTTTGTAGGTTATGATTACATTGTGTGACATGACAATGTCACCAGTGCAGATTCCCTGTGCCAGATCCATTCCAGAATCAG